CTGCAAGCTGCGAGCCCGCGGGAACGGCCCCCGAACAACCCAGATCGCCCCACCTCCGTGCCAGGCCTCGCCAGGGCTGTGCAACAGAACCTTGGAAGAGTGCTCCGATACGAGGAGCCAAACAAAAAAACGCACCTCGAAGACCAGCCGGCCCTGGGAGGGCCAGAAGTGGAGCGTGCGCAGAGTTCCCTTCAGAGGGGCTCTGAGAGCCAGGAAGGAGGAGAGGAGAGGTGGATGGGGAGGCGAACCGAAGAGGTCAGAAGGCAACTCCTGGGAGGTCTTCGCCAGGACGTAGGGGCCAGTGCGCTGGATTAGGCCAGTGGGCTGGATCAGGCCGGTTGAACAGGAATACGCCAGATTGGACCTGACCAATCCAGACCGAGCCGGCCTGGACAACCAGACAATACAAGTTTTCGACCAGCGACGACTTTACCAGCGCCGGCTCTGAATGTAACCTCCCAGGAGTTGCATTCTAAGCCCTGACCCTCGTCGGGCGCCCTCGCGGCGCGCCAGGGCCCAGGGAGGATGCCTGGGGCCACTGCTGCAGCTCGTCGATGCCCACGAGGCGGGCCGCGTTCGCGCTCGGGGCGACGAGCCGGTACACCAGCTTGGAGCCGCGGCTGACCTCAGGGGGACGTAAGACCTGGGTACAGGGGACTCGGAAATCCCCGACGAGGTCGTTAAAAAAATGACGAGGCCGAGCCTTCATTTTGACGAGGCCTCCCGCTGCAGACATCCCACGAAACTCCTCCTCGTCAAAATCCGAGGCGCGGTCGTCAAAAAACGATGGCGAACCCGAGTCCTGGCAAACCCGGGTCTTACGCTCCCCCGATGACCGTGTCCGCGACGACGAGGCTGCTGCTCTTGGCCATGGTCTTGGCCTCCGCTCGCGCTTCCAGGGCGGGAGGGCTCTCCGATCACCGGCAAAGCCGAGCGTCCTTTCATGCCTCGTCCTCTGCCTCCTCCGAGTCCGCCTGCCTGCCCACTCCTCCCTTCTGCCGCCTCCTCGTTCTCCTCCTGCTCCTTCTCATCCTCCTCTTCATCCTCATCCTGCTCCTGTTCCTGTTCCTGCTGTTGTTTCTCCTCCTCGACCTCTGTATCCCCTCCCGCCAGGCCGAGCGCTGGATCGAAAACAACAGAGAATTCAATTGCGCGTCGGTCCCAGGCGCGAAGTGAACGATCCGGGCATGGGATCATGCTCACACGGTGACCCTGCCAAGAGAACCCCAACAGGCCAAAATAATTGATCCCCCTTGGCTTGTGAAGGATGAAAGGACAAAAGCCCGTTCTCACCTTTATCGGGCCCCTGACGCTCCAGGACAGCCCCAGAGGCCACCAAGACTGCCTCAAGACGGCCCAAGAGGGCCCCGAGAGAGCCCCAAGACGGCCCCGACACAGCCCAAGATGCCCCCAAAAAGAGCCTAACAGGGGGAACACGAACTGACATGTCGAGTCCTCCGCCCCAGAATGGCCCCCGAGACCGCAAGCAGGCCCCCAAGTCCGAGGCCCCCCACGAGGCCCACAAATTTCAGCTGCGCCGGCAGCTCTCCGCGCCCGAAGGTGCCTGCACCCACTTGACAAGGGGTGCGGCACATCCCCCGCGCCGACGCGCGGGGCGCCAGGGATGCAGACACCCCCGGGAGCGAGAGGGCGGGGCGAAACCGCGCGCGCCGTCCGCGAAGGCGGGACGCGAGCGCCAGTGCCTGCAAGACGTGACCCGCGCGAACCCCGAGGCGCGCCGCGATGCGCCCGGACGGGATCCCCGCGGCGCGCAGCGCAAGTGCAGGCAAGAGAACGACCGTCGCACCACGCGAGCGCGGGCCCTCCTCGCAGGGCCGCGCGCGCGCAGCAGGGCGCCTGCCGACGCCCCCCCTCGCGCGCGCGCGGGCCTTTCTCGTCGGGCATGCGCGCCGCGAGGCGCAGGAGGAGCGGGAGGTGGCCCGCGCCCAAAGCTCGCAAAGCCTGCGCGCGGGCCAGGCGCGGGCACGAATTTCGTGCCCGCGCACGACGCCGCTCGAGTGTGCGCGCGCGCGCTGTCGATGGCGTTGTGCGCACCCAGCCCCAGAGGGACAGAAGTGGCCCCAAGAGGCCCCCAAAGAGGCCCAAAAAGAGCCCTCAAGGCACCCCAGAACTGCATCCACAAGAGGTGTCCCACAGGCCTTTCCCGACATCCGCACAAGTATCCAAGAGGCCACCACAACTCAGGCACGGTGGCGGGATGGGCCGAAGGCCACTAGATCCGCCGCCCCCTGCTTGCAGGGGTGCACGGCGTGCTGGACGAGCTGTTAGGTTTTGGTTTTGGTTCTTTTTCCAAAAGAACTCCCCAGTGGGCTCCGGCAGAACCCGCCACCGTGCGCAAACACGGCCGTTTCGCTCGGGACATCCTCAAAAAATCGCGAAGATGGCCCAAGATGGCCTCCAAGTCCGCCCGAGATGGTCCAAGACGGCCTCCAAAACGGCCCAAGAGAGTCCAAGACGGCCCAAGACGGCCCAAGAGGCCCCCCAGAGGCCTCCCAGACGGCCCAAGAGGCCTCCAAGAGGTCCTCCAGGAGAGTCCGAAGAGGCCAAAATCATTGATTTTCCATTGGTTTTTGAAGATTTTGGCATTTGCGCCTTTTCGGCTCTCCGACGGCTCAAGACGGCCCAAGAAGCCCCCAAGATCGCCCAAGAGGCCCCCAAGAGAGCCCCCTGATGGCCCAAGTGGCCTCCAAGATGGCCCCTAGAGGGCCCCAAGACGGCCCAAGAGGCCTCCAACACGCCCAAGATGTCCTCCAAGACGCCCAAGATGGCCTCCAAGACGGCCCTGGAGCGCCCCAAGAGGGTCCCCCGTTGGCCCAGACAGGCCCCCAAAACGGCTCCCGACGGCGTCAGACGTGCCAGGAACCCACCCAGATGGCCGAAGTTGGCTCGAAGCTGGCCCAAAAGGGCCCAAGAGGCCCCCAAGAGGGCCTCCAGGAAGGCCAAAAGATGCCAAAATTACTGATTTTCCCAAGGTTTTTGATGGATTTGGGCATTTCCCTTCTTTCGGCCTTCCGACGGCCCGAGACGGCCCAAGAGCCCCCAAAGATCGCCGAAAGATCGCCCAAGAGTCCTCCAAGACGACGACGATGACCATCAAGACGCCCACGTGTTCCCCGAAGGCTTTCCAAACCGATTCGGGGAACACATTGTCCGATGGCTTGGCAGGTCTGGCCTCAACGTTCGGCCACATAGGCGCTTCCACAAAGGCAGGGGGCGGCGGTGATTCGCCGTAGGCGTCTTCGATCCGCCGCCCCCTGCTTGCAGGGTGCCCGGGTGCTGGATGTTTTCAGGTTTGTGGGTTTTGTTCTTTTTCCAAAGAACTCCCCATGGGCTCCGCGCAGAACCTCGCCGGCGCCACCCGTAATGCCCCAAACGTCTCAACGACCGGACAAAATCCTCCAAAAACGGCCGTTTCGCTCGGGACATCCTCAAGAAATCGCGAAGATGGCCCAAGATGGCCTCCAAGTCCGCCCGAGATGGTCCAAGACGGCCTCCAAAACGGCCCAAGAGAGTCCAAGACGGCCCAAGACGGCCCAAGAGGCCCCCCAGAGGCCTCCCAGACGGCCCAAGAGGCCTCCAAGAGGTCCTCCAGGAGAGTCCGAAGAGGCCAAAATCATTGATTTTCCATTGGTTTTTTAAGGATTTTGGCATTTGCGCCTTTTCGGCTCTCCGACGGCTCAAGACGGCCCAAGAAGCCCCCAAGATCGACCAAGAGGCCCCCAAGAGAGCCACATGATGGCCCAAGTGGCCTCCAAGATGGCCCCTAGAGGGCCCCAAGAGGGCCCAAGAGGCCTCCAACACGCCCAAGATGGCCTCCCAGACACCCAAGATGGCCTCCAAGACGGCCCTGGAGCATTCCAAGCGGGCCCCAAGTCGGCCCATAGAGGCCCCCCAAACGGCTTCCGACGGCTTCAGACGTGCCAGGAACCCACCAAGATGGCCGAAGTTGGCTCGAAGCTGGCCCGAGACGGCCCAAAAAGCCCCAAAGATCGCCAAAGCTTGCCCAAGAGGCCTCCAAGACGGCCAAGATGACCTTCAAGATGCCCACGTGTTCCGAGCTTTCCAAAACCGATCGGGGAACACGTGGTCCCGATAGCTTGGCAGGTCTGGCCTCAACGTTCGTCCATATAGGCCTTCCAAAAGGCAGGGGGCCGGCGGTGATTCGCCGTAGGCGTCTTCGAAATCCCCGCCACCCTGTGGTCCGTGCCACAGGGTGGCACGGCGTGCTGGATGTTTCAGGTTTTGGTTTTGGTTCTTTTTCTAAAAGAACTCCCCAGTGGGCTTCGGCCCGTCCCGCCGGCCACCCGCAAGTTTCCGAAAATCCATCTGTCAATGCCTTTGTTGCCCCAACTTGGCCCAAGATTGCCTCCAAGACGGCCAAGATGGCCCAAGATGGCCTCCAAGATGCTTCCAAGACGGCCAAGATGGCCTCCAAGACGGGTAAGATGGCTCCAAGATGCACCCAAGACGGCCCAAGATGGCCTCAAGATGGTCTAAGACGGCCCCAAAGGCCCGCAAAAGGCCTCCAAGACGGCCCAGAGCCTCAAGACGCCCTCCAGGAAGGGTGGCCCGAATAGTTTAAAACCATTGATTTTCCCTAGGTTTTTCAAAAGGATTGTGGCATGTGTCTTCTTTTCATGCTCTCCGACGGCCCAGACGGATCCAAGAGGTCCACAACGCCCCAACAGCACCCCAGAGGCCTCCAAGATGGCCCCATGACGGCCCAAGAGGCCCCCAAGAAGGCCCCAAGAGGGCCTCAAGACGGCCCAAGAGGCCTCCAAGACGCCCAAGATGGCCTCCAAGACGGCCAAGATGGCCCAAGATGCCTCCAAGATGCCTCCAAGACGGCCAAGATGGCCTCCAAGACGGGTAAGATGGCTCCAAGATGCACCCAAGACGGTCCAAGATGGCCTCAAGATGGTCTAAGACGGCCCAAAAGGCCCGCAAAAGGCCTCCAAGACGGCCCAAGAGCCCTCCAAGACGCCCTCCAGGAAGGCCCGAATGGGTTAAAATCATTGATTTTCCTTAGGTTTTTCAAGGATTTTGGCATGTTCTTCTTTTCAGCTCTCCGACGGCCCAAGACGGCCCAAGAGGTCCCCAACATCGCCCCAACAGCACCCAAGAGGCCTCCAAGATGGCCCCATGACGGCCCAAGAGGCCCCCAAGAAGGCCCCAAGAGGGCCTCAAGACGGCCCAAGAGGCCTCCAAGACGCCAAAGATGGCCTCCAAGACGGCCAAGATGGCCCAAGATGGCCTCCAAGATGCCTCCAAGACGGCCAAGATGGCCTCCAAGACGGGTAAGATGGCTCCAAGATGCACCCAAGACGGTCCAAGATGGCCTCAAGATGGTCTAAGACGGCCCAAAAGGCCGCAAAAGGCCTCCAAGACGGCCCAAGAGCCCTCCAAGACGCCCTCCAGGAAGGCCCGAATAGGTTAAAATCATTGATTTTCCTTAGGTTTTTCAAGGATTTTGGCATGTTCTTCTTTTCAGCTCTCCGACGGCCCAAGACGGCCCAAAGACAGCCCCAGATAGAAACGAGGCCTCCAAGACGTTCTCCAAGAACGCCCCGAGAGACCATTACCGTTCATTTCATATTGGTCCGAACAGATCTTGTGTATATCGTCTTTTCGGCTTTCCAAAACTCCGCGACATCCCCATAAGCCTCCAAGAGCGCCCCAGAACAGTCCAAGAGGCCTCCAAGAACGCCCCTAGACGGCACAAGAAAGCCCCAAAACGGCCCCAAAGACAGCCCCAAGACGGCCCGGCAGATCTCCCAAACGCCCACGCTGGCGTCCACTACGGCCACGATAAACCCAAGTGAGGCCACAGAGAGGCCCCCAACCCAGCCCAGACGGCGTC